TTTCAGTAACTGGATTGTCTGAGTCACAGATAGTAGATCCTGGTTGCATGAGGGGAAAATATGGAGGACAGAAAGGATAAAACGGAAGAGTAAGTTGGTTGTTGTGGAGGAGGAAGTGTGAGCTTCTAAAAGGATCTGGTTCCATACGTCTGAGCAGCCCCCAATTGTGGCATTTATTCCACATCATTCAAATCAAAAGAGCCAGAATTTGGACTATCTTTCATCTGGTGTATTTCCACAATTAGGATAATTTGAGAGTGAAGAAAGTTAATTTTTAAATTGCAACTTCATTTACAGGCAGGTATTTTTTCATTCGTTTCTGTTTTTGAGCAGGTAACAATGGATCCCAAACTACTCAGAAAGACTGGAAAGTTCTACTTTCTCCTCTTCTTTTTCCATGTACTATGTAGAAATATAAGACCACTGGACTCTTCACCATTTTAATACCATAGACAAACTATCAGCAAAAGGTGGAACCATAGAATCACAATTATCCATAAAGTTGAAGTTTGGGATCAAGTCAAAATTAGGTCTTCGGCAAGCTTTCAAAGGAAGCATTTTCCCGACAACACAAACAATACTCTGAGGTGATCCACAGCCTTTAGTTTTTCCAATCAGCAAAATCTGTATTTCTCTTAACAGATCTATTAGGGGAGACACTGATGAAGCCAGTTCAAGGAGATTTATTTATCAGTGTTTTCTTACCTTCCTCTGAAGCCAAGCCTAGGGCCGCTGCTTGATCAGGAAGCAGAGGGTGTTATGGAAATGCGTCTCAGAACCCTTAAGCGGAGGATTCCACCGTCCGCGAGTTCAAGTACAAAAAAACGCTCAGACTTACGCACTCGCCCTCCCTCCCCGCACCTCTGACCGCAGGGCAGAGCAGTAAAGCTGCGCTCAGCCGGGTAACTGTGGGAGGCGCAGCCAATTTTCCCACTGCAACCTCTTAGCCTGCTGCGCGGCCTAAGGACGGGTTCATAAAAATAACTTTAAAATGTAACGAATTAATTGGTCCATTGCCAGTTGAGCAGAGGTTACCTGAAACCCACAGTGGGATGGAGCCCAGTAGAATAAAGAGAGCACATTTCGGGGAGCAGAAGGTGACACTACGAAGAGAGGTGTGTTTTTATATTTCCAGGTCTTTTTAAAAAAAGATTTTTTTTCTAGGGCCAACCTTGGTTACACCTTTGATCTCACATCATAAACTGTTAGAACATTAATCATATTTAGAAGCTGTACTAACTTATGTTCTGTATTGTAAGTCACTACTCCAGCAGCTACATGCCATCATTATTCTGGGAGGTGTTAATGCATTTTCACCGAGGGCCTCATTTGGAGTCCAGGGGTGCTTCGACTCACTAGAGGAAGATTGCACTGTTTATTGAATGCGTTCGGGGGAGAGAGAAGAGAAGGCCATTGCTTTCTTTCCTCTTTATGTCTCTTCGGGCCTGGAGAGTTTAAATTACACATCTCCTGGGTAAAGACGATGCTGAATTCAACATTCTGAATTGCATCTAGCAATTGTTATTGCCCAAAATATTAGGGTAGTAATAGTTGGAGGGCTAGGATGCTTGTAGTTTAAACAAAACTGTCATGGTTGTGTAGAAATGAGCTTAAATTGTCCTATTTTTAGTTGATCCTCAAAGGTTTGTGGTACTTCCACAGCTTCACTCCTGACCACAGTTCAGGCAACACAGCCTCAGAGCTCTGCCACAGCTGTGGCTTCTTCTTTGTGGACTGTATGCAGTTTGTAATTTGTACCAGTGAACTGGGAAGGTGCCTGATAGGAAAAAAATAGTGTAAGAAAACTGTATCAGAGTCATCAATTTTCACATTCTCTATTCTATTTATTCCTTAAAGATCCTGAGCAGCTGTTATGTACAAAACACAGTACTAGACATTGTGGAACTACAGAGCTGTAAAGACATTCTTCCTATCTTGGAGATCTTACAGTTCAGATGGAGAGACAGAGTTACAGATACTATTAGTGTCAGACTCTAAAAGAGCCTGGTGTGTGGAGTTGGAGGACCTGGGTTTGAATTCCACCCTACCAGTTGCATGGTTATAAATGAGTTACTAATCTTGTAGAGATCTTCAAGTGTCTGGGGCCACAGTAAGTTCTTAAAAATAATATATTTTGGGGGCTGGGGATTTAGCTCAGCTGCAAAAGCGCCTGCCTGGCAAGCGCAAGGTCGTGCGTTCGGTTCCCGGTACCGGAGAAAAACCAAAACCAAAACCAAAAAAAAAAAAAATAATAATAATAATATATTTTGGGCTGGGGATATAGCTCAGCGGCATAAGCACCTGCCTGGCAAGCGTAAGGTCCTGAGTTTGATTCCAAGTATAAAAAACAAAAAAAAATTTTTAACAATACCATATTATTATCACTGGGGGAAGTAGTGGAAGGAACTTTAAGGTAGAAGGAGCTCTTCCTGATGGGACTGTATGTGGTTAACTAAGGAGTGACAATTGAGCTGAGCACCAGAAGATGAACAGGAGTTCAACTGTTGAAGAAGGAAGGGGGTAGTATTTCAGCCTTTCAACTTGGAATGGTATGAATAACAACGTGGAATGAATGTTTTTGATTTATTTAAGGGTCAGGTCTATTTCAGGGCTTTAGTAAGGGATGATACTGAAAAATGAGATGGATTCAAATTAAGATGTATCTTAGATGTATTCAAATTTTGTGCTGTTGGTACAACAAGAATTAGGAAGTGATTAGTTGTTACTGGACTGAAAGGAGTGTAAAAAGCATACTTATGAGTGCCTCCTTGGGCCCTGGGAATGTGGGAAAAGTAAGATATAACACCAAGTCACTAGGGTGATGTATTGCCATTAGCTAAAGTGGAACCCAAGAGGAATGTCTGACTGACAAGGAAAATAATAACTTTTATTTTAAAAATTGGTGATTGTTTTTGTCCTTAAGATTATTTTAAAAAGTTATTCTATGGAAAGGTTTCTCACACTGATGGTTATATGAAAGCTAAAGTTTTATATTATCCATATTATGAATAATATGACTTTCAAGTGGGTTTCTATGTGGCATGCCGGGAAGTCATATAATATGTAATGAATTATGCTATATGCTTTCAGCAAAAGGCTATATTAGGAATATTAATATGCCTGACATTCTTCCCAGCCCTTCTGCATCCCCTTGCTCTCTTAGTAGGAATCATAGTATCTGAGATAATGATTACTAATAATTTAGCAGGACGAATATTTCTTCTCATTTCTGTTGATTTATCTTTGCACCTGCTCAAATGACCTTCAATGAATATTTAAAGGATTTCTACTGGCCTATCAATAAGGAGTACATCAGGAGATGTATAGAATATTCACACAAATATTTACACAATTTGGTTGAAAAGGCAGCACACTGAATTTAAAACAAAATCTTTGAGTGCACTTTTATTTTCCTCACCTACAGATTCATGTAGGGATACACCTTTAAATTCAATGGATATTGTATATGTTTCAGACTACAAGCAAGGAGAATAATTCACCTTACAACTCTTTTTTTCTAGAGATCAAAAAACAAAAGAAACGCTTTTATTTTTTCTGAGCCCTTAATCATTCTGTGATTTTACCATGCATATTGAATACATTCAGGAAAATTACAACATACTTTTAATAATGAAAATGTGTGAAAAGGTTTCTTCCCTCCCCCACAGAGATGCCATCATTCTAAAATATTCAAAACATGCTAAATCACTATTTGTAAACAAGCAACTCTTCATATACTATACATATAACTTATGTTCACCACCTACCCTAATGGTAAAATGAAAAGCTACCAAAGGGACAACACTAGAAGCCCAGGCACAAAACCATACACAGACCCAAAAAGACTGCAGATCCCATTCTGGTAAGAATGCACTAAATACATTCACATTCCTTTTCTTTTTTTTTTTAAAGTAAATGTCAAAGGCCTAGTTTATCAGCTTTTATAAATGTAAGCTAAACAATACATATTTAAACGATTGTCAGAACTTGTAGTTGCTGGTATCTGTGCACAATAAGAAAACAAACTTAAATTTATATCAAACCAATATATCTTTAATTACTAAATACTGACAAAATGAAAATTATTTCATGCAAGACTCATCTTGGCAACATTAGCTGACACTGGTTGGCTCACGTTTCAAACATAATGGAAAACACATCTATGCTGGTATTAAAGTTTTACCTTGTGCTAGTGTTACTCAAAGAGTCATGGCTCACCTTTGATGTTGAATACAAAAAGCAAAGTGCCTACAGAGACTACAATAATTTTAAAGACAAAAAATGATCTTATTGTGTGATTCCAACATATTTAAAAGTTTATGACAAAGAGGAGCTCCAATGAGATGTCTATAAATCCTTTAGGTACAGTTATACTGAAAATTGAATTTGCTTGATATCTTCAAAAAAAGTTCCTCTTAATCCTCAAATGATGCTTGTTATAATTTTAAAATCTGTTAAATGCATGTATTGAATTACTTGTTATCCAAATGTAGCAGCTGCTCTTTACTATTTATCATTAAGGGCTTTAACTGTTCACCTTCTTCAACTGCTACTCTTTCTTGACCATTTTCAACAATCCTCATGGTGGTTTTTCTACAAAATTTAAGTAGAACTTGATATAGATTTGAAGTTGCTTATCCCACTGCCAGCAAAGGATGTGGACAAAAATGAAGTGAACCAAATGAAGCAAATCCACCTCCAAAGGATGGAAGTCCACTGATGGTGGACAAAAAGCCTGCACTGTGGCTTCTGATCCCTTCAGTGCTCAAAAGAGTTTTCAAATAAGTCTTTGAAGAAATTGAATGAAAACAACTACTTTCCACCAAAAATTCCCTGAAAACATCATCTAGGGCCCAGAATGTGAAGCCCAATTCAAATGAAATGTCCAAATGACTTCTACGTGCTCAGTTTTACCCTTCTTGGTCATATTTGTCATAGATGTCCTGTTTTTACCATCTGATAATGCCTCATACACCTTAGCTACTTGTTTGAATATTTGCTTTTCTTCTTTATTTGTGGGATGTTTATCTGGGTGCCACTTTAGTGCTAGTTTCTGATCTGCCTTCTTGATGTCCTTGGGTGAAGCAGGTCCTTGCATGCCTACAACTCCACAGGAATCCACCAAGTTTTAACAGGTTGTTGGAATAAGTCCAAAGATGTGGACCACCTCACAGCATGAAGGAGGGACATGGGGAACATATTTCCTCCTGGATCCAGCATGGTTGGTGGTGGCAGCAGAGGTTCCTTCTTATTACTATTCGGGGCTTTCATTACTATAGTTCCAGTTAACCATCAGTTATGGGATTTAAACTCTGAAGATTAGAAGAGAAGAGCTGGCCATCAGGGTGGACAAAGGAGCTTAACATAGGTGAGTGAAAGGCATACACGTATTGAGAATGAAAGGCATATGCCTGCCTTGAATTAGTCCTCCAAAATTAAATGAGCATAGACCACAATCAGATGTTTCCCATTAGCTTGCAAAGCATCTTACTCCTCTTCTTGCAGCTCTGAGGTCAATAAGAAAACATCAGCAGCCTCTATCTGTTGATTGTTAAGTGTCTTTTATTATTGAATTTCTCTGCTGGGCACTTTCAAAACTAGAGTTACTATAAGCTCATTCATTCATTCATTCAACATTTTTGTCTTCTTGCTGTGTGTCAGGCACCATTTTTTCTTAGGAACAGAATATGGTTGCTTCTTGCCTTTTCCTTCTTCCCACTGGCCAGAGTACAGACATGGTGGGCAGCCCTTTGAGATCATTAGGAGAAAGGAAACAGAATAAAAAGATAGACACTTGAGTTGCAGCACAGTAGAATCATTGTATCAGCTCTGCATGACTTGCATCTTGATTGTCATATGAGAAATAAACTGAAACCTTGTTTAATTTACCGACATGTTGGATCTTTCTATTTAGCTGAGCCTAGATATTGACCAGTAGAAGTTACTGTAATATATGGAGCAGCAAAAAGATACAAAGAAATTTTCAGAAAAGGAAAAAATAATCACTCATAATCCTACCTCCCAACACAACTATTTAAAAATTTGAATATTGCCCGGCTAGCTCATTTAGTAGAGCATGAGACTCTTAAAAATTTGAATATTATCTTTTGACTCTCATCCACATACCCATGTTTTTACTTTATAGTAAGTTCACATACCATTTGACATTCTGCTCTTTTTTATATAACCTTATATATTACACATTTCTGTACATTTTAACATAGCTGTTGTGGATTTTTTAGTGGCTTTATACCATTACAGTATGCTGCTATACTCTGATTTAGCAATCTATCCAAGGGATGCATTCATAAAAATGTTTTTAAATGATCCTATCAAGCTTCCAATGAATCTGGTAGGGTCTATAAGTACCTTAGTTTAGCTTGATCCTGAAATATGTACTTTATAGGAGATGCAGATAATAAATAATAAATGCTAGCTAGCATTATTATTGTTGTTATTAGTATTGAATTCCACTGTTTGTCTCTCGCAATAAGAAATTCAAGAATAAGGTCTGAATTGAAGTGGTAGCTGAAGCAAGTTGGAAGACCATGATACAATCTTTACTGAGTTACCATCAGTGAATTCTTTTTGTTGTTGTTGTTGTTTTGTTTTTTTTTCTGGTACCGGGAATTGAACTCATGACCTTGCGCTTGCCAGGCAGGCACTGTGCCGGTGAGCTCAATCCCCAGCCCCACCATCAGTGAATTCTGATGTGTCACCTGTAAGACATTGTCTGTCAATCCAGACAACTGGTGGTCAACTTGTAACACCCAGTTGAACTGAACCAATGTGGTGCTTGCTGGGTGTAGAAGGCCCACTTGAGAATTGATGCCAGCAGCATAAAAGGGAGAACTGGAGAAGAAGAAAACAAAAGCTTTTAAGGAGCTGTTGGTTCTCTTGGAGGACCTTGTCATGCTAGTTTTCCTGATATGAATGTAGCTGTTCCCATCATCGAAGGAGCTCAGGACCTTGTTGTTGCTGAGAATGGCTACGGTTCATTTTGGGGGAGCTCTGGTCCTTACTTGAGCATCACTTCCTGGCTCCAGAGGGGAAGATGGTGCACTACTCAGTCTCTGGGAGAAGCTTGTCGAGTTAGCTTTCCTGATACGGACTCTGATGTTCTCATAATCAGAGGAGCTCAGGACCTCGCTGTTGCTGAGGATGGCTGTGGTCCTTTACAGGGGAGCTGTGGTTCTTACTTTGAGCATTGCTTCCTGGATCCAGTGCAGACCCTTAGCCTGCTAGCACAGATCCTTCATCCCACTGGCACAGACTTTCTAGCTTTCATGATTGGGCCTTCCTAGAGAAGATCCTTGAAACAGGCCTGCATGAGACATTGTCATGGGCTTTTGGCCTCCAGTTGAACTCATGAGGGGCATTGTTATGGGCTCTAGGTCTTCAGCTGGCCTCATGCAGGACATTGTTGTGGGATCCAGGCCCTTAGCTGCATTCTTTTGGTCTTCAGTGTGTGGACAGATTTCCTGCACTGTCTTTGTATATGACTCTTCGAGTGACTATTATAAAATAATTTTGTAAATTATATATCCTGTATTATTCTCCTTGCAAAGCCTGATTACAACAGACATCTAGTTATTCATTGTAAGATTTGTGAGTTGTGTCTGTTTTTCAAATGTGGTAGGCTGGAATGCCAACTCAGCCTTCTCCTATTCTTCACCTTTAATCACATCTCCCTTCCCCTTACTCTGGTTGTTCAAAGACTAGAAAAAATATTAATAGGTCTATAGTGATATGTCTCCTCCAATATCCTCTTCCAACAAGTGTCCCCTTCCCCTAACTAAATTAACCATTTGTGTTAGTCAGCTTTTGTTACTATAATAAATAACTGAGATAATAAATTTATAAAAAGAAAAGATTTATTTTGGCTCATAGTTTTATTTATTTATTTATTTATTGGTTTTTCTCCAGTACCGGGAACTGAACTCATGACCTTGCGCTTGCCAGGCAGGCGCTTTTGCCGCTGAGCTAAATCCCCAGCCCCTTGGCTCATAGTTTTAGAAGTTTTAGACTATGATTTCTTGGTCCCCTTGCTTTGGGCAAAGCAGCATATCATAGTGGGAGTGATGGCAGAGAAAAACTGCTTATCTCATGGCCAGGAAGCAAAAGAGAAGGAGAAAGGAAGAAAGAGAGGTCCAATATCCTCTTAAAGCAACACTTCCAATGACCTAAGGACCTCCTTCAAGGTTCCACCTTCTAAAGGCTCCATTTATATTCCACTTCTCTCTCTCTGTCTCTCTCTCTCTCTCACACACACACACACACACACACACACACAGATACACACACACAGAAAGCTTAGCATGGTAGCGCATGCCTATAATCCTAGCACTTGGGAGGCTGAGGCAGGAGGATTATCATGAGTTCAGGGCCAGCCTAAAATACTTAGTGAGGCCCTGTATAGTAGTTAGAAATGAAAGTTCATCCATTCAACAACCTATGAGTACATGACTTACCTCATCTTTACATCCTTCTGACATCTGATATCTTTGCATATCTTCTCTGTGCTTATGGTTATCGAATGAATCCAATTCTGTAGAAGTCGTCAGAAACCATTAGGATTTAACAGTAGGGACTGAGATACATCAGAATGAGAGAATACAAAACTGAAAGAAAGATATAATTTTATGGAGCAAACAAAATTGGTATGAAAGCTCAGCCTTTATAATCAGTTTCTTTCTTGCCTTTTACATATCATAAGATATTAGAGTTTATGCCTACTTGAGCTCAATTTCAGTTCCAAAATTTTTTTCTGACTGCTTTCTGGGTATTTGCCAGCATTTATGCTAGCTTTCTAGGCATTTACCTATCATTTTCAGTTTCATCCACTAACAGTCTTACAGAAATCTATGAATATCAGCTGAACAAATAAAATTCTGGACCTGTAGTTTATACTTAGAGAATTAAATTTAATGGGTATTTGACAACCTGGTTCTATAGCTATTACAGGAACAGTACTATCATACAACAGAGAGGAGGACATCATTTTTCTTCCTCAAAGCTGTGCCTGTACTATAAATCCCCACCCTAAGTCCGTCTTGTAAAAGCCAAATGTGAACATAAGAGGTAACAGCAGCAGGGAAGGAGCCTCTTTTAAAACATGTGAATGAGAATAATGGGCCTCAGGGACCATTTGCCAGCCTATGGGATATTAGGAAAGCCAGTTGGGGCCATCAGATTTTTATGGGAGAGCAGAGCTGTAACATTAATCCTTACAGAAGCTTCCTCCATTCCTGGATACTCTGTAGAGTGACTGTCCCAACTGAGGTCCAGATTGGCCTGTCAGAGACAGAACAGTCTACACCAAGAGGTGTATTTTTGTCTTTGAAGTAATAATGTACAACTAGATACCGGCTACCCATGTACCACAGAGATTTTGGGATGAAATGTGAAACTAAAGATAAAGTATTTCCTATTACCTCCAATGTATAGGAATTGCATTGTTTCCAGTGTGCTGTGCCTTTTATTACAGGGTTCTTTTATCAGTCTCCTTGACTGTTGGCTAATGAGTCCCAACTGAGAAAGGTTGCAAATTGGTTATAAATATGACTTTTATTCTAAGAGAACAAAATGAGGTAATCAGAATAGTTATATAGCTGATATACCATGCTTATCAATTTCTCAATATTCAAAAATATCCTAATAATTTTCTGTAGGCATCATTTTAAAAAAACCAATAAACTAATTAGTCTGAGTGCCCACTTCAGTAGCACATATACTGAGTTGGAGCTAATTAATTTGAAAGTGTAAGTCAGTGTTTAGATAATATTACATAAGATAGGAAGTTCAAGTTCAATTCCTGGCACATTGCACTTACTGTTGAGTACCTTAAAGTGTTTTTGTTTTTAGGTTTATAAACTTGAAAATTAATGTTTTGAACTCATAATAAGGCACTGCAGCTAAATGAGATTAAAACCAATAAATATGGAAATTTTCTGAGTAAATTAGTAAGTTATTAAGTACATTTGCTTATAACTAAGAAGAGTGGAATTTAAATTAGTACAAACCTTTTAGAATACACATTTAAAATACCTATTAAAATTCAAATAAATAATATTGGGAGAGGGAAAAGATAGTTCTACTTTTTTTCTTTCTTTTTTGGTTTTTCTCTGGTACCGGGAACCGAACTCATGACCTTGTGCTTGCCAGGCAGGGGCTTTTGCCACCAAGCTAAATCCCTAGCCCCAGATAGTTCTACTTTTTACTTTGTATCAGTTTGATTTTTGTGAGATCATTTTATATAAGCATTTTAAATTAAATAATTACAAAGAAATACTTCTGCACCTTTAAAAAAGTAAGTATGTTCTAAGGGAAAGTTGTCATGTTTATCTATTCCACCCAGCAACTGTAGACTAGGCAATTACATTGTACATGTTAAATTTTAGAATGGTAACTTAATGGCTCAGTTTACAATGCTAACAATTTTAGCATGGACAGGCATATTCTGTAGGACATAATAGCTCAAATAAAAACACTTCTGGCCAACTGTACAGCACTTTTAAGAAAACTTTGGACAGTTGTGTCTTTCCATCTCAGATTGCTTTATCAAGCTACACTCTAACCAGTAATGCAAGAAGCAGAACAAGAACCAGGTAAAAACTACTCCCAAATCTTCATTAAGAAGGTAATAATTAACCTCCTTAAAGTTTCTGCTATTACAAGAAGTGCTGGAAAATCTTGAGGGAAGAGATTTAAAAAGAAAAGAAAAAAAATTTTAAGAAAAGAAACCTAAAAAAGAACTAGCCTTAGAAATATGGCCCTAATAAAATATCTTAAATCTCTCATTTTGTTCTCTGAAAATACTTTACATTGGAAGATTCTGCTTTAAGTTTACTTATAGCTCCAGTCACCCCTTGTTAGTAGACACTTTTTATTTTTCCTGTAAAAAACTTTACAACTTTTCTATTCAAAATTTTTGTAAACAGTGTCTCATCCCAGTATTTTGCACAATAAATTTAAATGTGAAAAGATTTTATTAAGAATGTGCAGGGCTCATTTCAATTTTAGTTAACGTTAGATTAATATATTTCCTTTGCTATTTCAGTTGATCATATAATACTCTGCTTTTAGTTAACAGCATAGATTCTATATTGGAGGCCTTCTAAGACAATGCAATGGCAACGACTGCATTAGGATTGCTGCCTTAAAACATGGCACCTTGGCATTTGAGAAAACAGCAAAGGTTTCTCTCACTCTTGCCAAACCCCATATATCTATTCTCACCTGGCCCTTTTGCCCCTGTGTCAGGATAGAAGGGATGTTTCTCCCTACCCAAGGTCAATTTCTCTATTTGTGATCTGAATCCCAGCATTTATTGTCTTTTCAAGAAATCTATGCTATAGATTTTCCCTTCTCTTTCCTGTATCTTAAATATTTATGTTTTCTTCTCAACAGGATTAGCCCCATCTACTTTTAAACAAGCTTGTTTTTCCTATAGACCAAGTGGATAGATATTATGTCTCTTTCAGGTGGTCATATATATCTGCTTTGCCCTCTTACGTGTGGATTTCTTGGCTTATTAATCCTCAGAGGGGAATTTTATTCCCCAGATTTCCTTATTCCTAGAAAATACTTCAATGTAGCTCCAAAATATGCAACTAGTTTCCACAGTGTTTTTCTAAATAAAGTAATTCCTTGTAATCAGTGTGTCTGTACCATCTGTGTAATAGGTTTTTGTCTTCTCTACTTACAGTTTTCAAACTTCATTTTTAAAGCTCACAGGAGGGGGGATATAGTTCAGTGGTAGAATGCTTGCCTAGCAATGCATGAGGCTAAGGGTTTGATCCTAAGCACTGGAACAAATTTAAAAAGCAAAAGAAACTCACCAAGAAATACTGTACAGAGCTAATCAAGTAAGTAGCTCCCCTAAAAAAAAAAATGAAGTTATTCTTCACAGATTTTATTGAAATTCTTTATATTGAGTTGACCAAAGAGGTGGGGCTATCGCTCAGCAGTACAGCACTTGCTTAGCATGCATGAAACCCTGGGTTCAATCCCCTGTACTGGAGAAAAAATCTTTTTTCTTTCTTTCTTTTTTTTTTTTTCCCCAGTACCGGGAATCTAACTCACGACCTCGCACTTGCCAGGCAGGCGCTGTGCTGCTGAGCTAAATCCCCAACCCCAAAAAATCTTTTTTCTTATCTTGAAAGTTAGTATGTAGTTACCTATGTGTCGTCTACTGCCATGGGAGTTAATACAATTTAAAAAACAGGAGTGGATATTTGTAGAGAAACAATAAATGCTTCATGTATATTGCATATCTTATGATTATGTGCGTCAGTTAAAAAAAAAAAGAAAGAAACAGAATATGTTTGCCCCACATAGAAAAGATGTTAAAGCATTGAGGAAAAAAAAGGATGCCTTTCTGACTCAAGCTGATCCGAAGATGCATTTTAGCAGCAGACTTTCAGTTACTTATCTCCAGGTAACAATTTAACCCAGGCAGTAAGAATGGCTGCTGCATCTGAATTTTATGATGGCTTTCTGATTTGTTGCTTCTTAAAGCAATCACATAAGGATAGCAAATCCCCCAACAGTGGAAAATGTAGTATTGAAAAATTCCACTATTACGTTCCTGTAGATGAAGCTCCACAAACAGTAAAATAATAAAGGCTGATTCTGAGTGTTTGATGAGGTAGCAGAGGTCACTATGATGAAACTGAATAATTTTCACCCATTTACCTAACACACAGGAAACTCCTGAATGGCATCCCCCTCCCCCCGAGAATTAGCATGACCTAGGCACTGCATTTAAAGGCCTTTGTTACTAAAAATAAACAGTTGAAAATAATTTTCAATGGAAATACAAAACTATTTTGTGGAAATGGATATGAACACTCCTTAAAAAAAGGGCTAGGCCTCTGAAAACCCTGAAGCTTAGGCTGCTGTTATACATTCTATAAAACCACAACATAATTTCTAAAAGTTTCCCAAACAAGCACTATGCAATTCAGCTTTTAAAATTATATATTTTTTGTTTGGAATGTTTCTGAACTCTACCCAGAGAGATTTTATTCCAAGTATAAATAAGGAAAAAAGGAAGCTATTTTGGTAATTGTGAAGAACTTTAGTGATTTCTAGGGGAATTCAGCAAGGCTGGGCTACCATTATTACTATCTTTTGTATGAGTTATTAAACTATAAACTGGGCATGGTGGCACATGCTTGTAATCCCACAACTCAAGAGGCTCATGCAGGAGTATCGCCATGAGTCTAAGGTCATCCTGGGCTACATAGTGAATTCAAGGGTAGCTTGCAATCCATAGTGAGACCCTGTCTCAAAAGAAATGAAAAAAACAAAACAAAACCCTAAAAAACTATTCACTAATTAATACAAAAGTTCAGGAATAAGAGATTCAGTAAATTTTGTTGATAGAACATATGTGTGATATACAAAGAAACTATCTAGTAATTATATACATTAATAAGTACACTAAAGTCACAGTCACTTACCTAGTTTCTGCGAATAGTTCTATTAATTACAATGGCATTTAGTAGTGTGATTACATATGTTGGTTCTATTGATTAGAAATCTTGTTCATTTTATGCACTTTGTAGTTAGGCACATTAACTACCTATTGCTGGTTTATGTAACACGTCACCACAAATTCAGTGGCTTAAAACAGCACAAATTTGTTATGTTACAATTCTGGAAGTCAGACATTCAAAATAGTTTTCACTGACATATAATCAAGGTGTTAGCGGGCCTGTGTTCCTCCTGGAGATTCCAGGGGAGAATTCTCTCTCTTGCCATTTCTAGCTTGTAGAGGCAGTTTATATTCCATAGCTTTGGGTTCCTGCCTTCAAAACATCAGCAAGCACCTTAAAGTCGCTCTGTGTGTTGCTTTCTTGCTTTTTTATTTTAAAGAGAGAAAAGATAAGCAGACAATGAAACAGGTTAGTAGGACAGTTATAATAGTTGATACATTGCATATTGTTGTCTTCATATTAGTTAATCAAAGTACAAGATATAGGTATAATATCTTGTCTAAACAATATTAGCACAAAGCATTCTTTTTAAGGAACTAAGAGAAGCTAGCTGTAAGACTATTTTAACCATCTGGGGTATACATGTATTTTTTCTTTTTCTCTTTCTTCTTTTTCCCTTTCCTCCGTTGCAGTTTATCTCTTCTCTTTTTTTCTTCTCTTTCTTCTTTTCTTTTCTTTTCTTTTCTTTCCTTTTCTTTTCTCCTCTCTCTTTCTCTCTTTTTGAGATGGGGTCTTGCTATGTAACCCAGGCTGGCCTTGAACTTGCAGACCCTCTCCTGTCTCAGCCTCCTGTGTGCTGGGATTATAGGCATGCACCATCTGTGTGTTTCTTGTCACGTTTTTTTTCTCTGAATCTGAATGACTCTCTTTCCTTCTTATAAGAACATTGCCCATTACAGTGGGCCTACCTGGAATAATTCAAGGTAATTTTCTTATCCCAAGATTCTTAATTACTTCCACAAAATCCCTTTTGCCATGTAAGATAACATATTCATAGATTCTGGGGTTTAGAATATGGAAATCTTTGGGTCATTATTCAGTCTAGTGCAGTGTAGTAGACCGATTAATTGTTCCAACTCTTTTTAACTCTCACTATTCTCCTGCCTCAGCCGCTGTGGTAGATGGGCCTACAAAGCACGTGCCACTGTGCCAGAATAGTAAAACACCTAAAAATATTACTTGAATGATCTTGAAAACATTTAACCTTCGCACACTGGTATATGGTGTAAATAGTTCTTAATTCATTTAGGTACTGGCATGACAGTACAGGCATTACAGATGTATATTTTTCTCTATAGAAAAGTATAAGTATTTTCCTCAGGTGATTTTCAAGCTGGCTAGCATGCCTTTTTGCTTTTGAAAGACAAATATTTCCCTGAAAATTATTTTCCCCAGCAAGTACATAGCTGTATTTTATTTGAAAATATAAAATGAGGACTATCTTCTTCTAATGTGGAGTAGTCAGTGCAACAAGAAAAATCATATAATTTGGAAGAGTTTCAGGAATTCCTTTTGTGTTCTAGTAAGTTAAAGTTTAATAATTATATTTGTGACAGAAAAATACAAGACTAATTTTTTTACCCCTCTGAAAATAATTTAGATAACTATTTAAAAAGTAAAATCAAATACTCATAGAAAGATAAAGCAAGCTGGGTGAAGAGGAATCAGGTTTGTCAGCCCTTTATTCTTTTATATATGGTTTCTGGGAGAGGTACAATGTTTAAAGTGATAAATATGATTTTAGGGTCAAAGCAAAGAATTTAAACAAGAAGGAAGTTAAGTTCCCAGTACTGCATATCAATGTACCTTTAGAATGTTGAACAAAAGGGGTGAAAGGGAGCAAAACATATGCAGGTGGTAAACTGCATAATGTTCTTCCTGGTGTCTAGAGACACGTTTGGGGCAAGTTGTGAAGGCTGGGTAGGTATCAACAGTACTGACTTTCTCTGCTTACCAAAATTCAGAATATAAAACCACATTAAGTAGTTATCTAACAAGAAAAAAACCCCTAGATTAGTTAAGTAAAAGTATCTTAAAGTTACACTGTTAGGAATAAGGTTAAATAGCTTTGCATTATGAAATGAAGTTGAACACATACTACAGAGATGAGGTAGAAAAAGGTTTAAAAATTCAATGGGGGGGAGGGGAGGAAAGGATGGGAGGATTTCTGAGTACTATAGTAATATAAAATGCAAAGTACAGGCAAATACACAAGGCAGTACTTAAAGTCCTATAAAAATGTGTGCATGTTTCCTGTGTTTTTCAATACTGTAATACTATAGAAAAAAGGGAGAATTTGGTTGAGCCTTTTACATTTTATGCAATTTTATTCTTATTGGTCTTAGAGTAGTCATTTGTAAAACACTACTGTTTAATATTGACAACTTTGAAAGTCACTGAAAAAAGTTAAATGGCAATTTAATGTTAACAGCTGCTTATGGTTATCAAATCCATCAAAGCCCTTCATGAATATATTAAGCACAAACCCACTAAATTATTGTTGCTGAAGACAGCTTGGTATTTTGAAATTGCCTAGTGAGAATAGGTACACTATAATAACAGGCAGAAAAAAATAATATGCAGGATTCTCATCACAATTTACTGTTTTATCTTTAGATAGGGGAAAAAAACCCCAGACCTGTTTTTAATTATTTAAAGTTCTAGAGCCTCTGCCAATCTATTTATAAAGGGATCTCTAGAAGTGTATTAAATATCTTGTTCTATCTAACTTCATGTTTTAACTGATGAATAAGGAAACAAAAACAGCATTCTTATAACAAAAATAATTCATAATAGTAAATAGTGCATATTGAGCTAATTATTATTGAAAGGCCAAATCTGAGTTCTCCAAAGTTTCATAAATAAGGCAGCTATGTTCTTCAGCTATATTTTTCTAGAAGACTGCCTTTTATTAAAAGTCGGTAAGGACTCTATAGGGACCAGAGTTATCATAACAGACAACAGGGACTACTACATAATACACATCCAGGAATGCCCTGCTTGCTTTATACTGCTACTCCTCAGATCTTTTTTTTGGAAAGCCCTTGCAGCTTACCTTCCCTCAGGATAAATGAATTCCAAAATACTGAAATACTGTCAGAATTATGCAAAGCTCCAGAGTATTTAATGCAGATATTAGAAGATACAGTTTCTTAAACCAATATAAACCAAGGCGCAAGAGAGATAGTTATCCATTCACCTTCTGAGTGTCAGATTGTAGGAATTTTGGGGTGTGCAGGTTAGAGTCAAGCTTGGGAAACTCTAAATTTGCACGTTACTCCTTATATAAGCTGAAGGGTAACTTTCTAACTCTGTTATAAGCCAATAATAAAATGGAATTTGCAAGGTCCCTCAACTGTATGTCTGAGGTAGAAAACAGCAATTCTGACGAAAAAAATTAGAGGTCAAGAATTGAAAATTCTTGTCTTTTTATCTAACCTCACCAAACTATAGAGGAGGAGTGAAGTTGTTCGCATGGAGAGGAGGGGCTCTGCATTAAATTTTAAAGTGTAATGAAGAACAGGCATTTCTTACCATGTTTAGGGACTTTAGGGATGAAGCTTGATGAGTCACAGAAGACAAGACAGGGATCTGGGTTCTTTTCTTCTCTGGAAAGCCACGGAGAATATAACACAAGCTTATAAATCGATACTGTAAGAGTGAGGCAGAGCTGTACTCAAGAAGGCTAGATGCCATCAAGATTAGTATGTCCCTTTATTAAAAGTAGGCAAGGTAAGGACTTGGCCTTACAGGCCAAGCAGAAGAATTTCAGTCACTTTGAAATAGGATAAAAGGTGAGAGGCAAATTATCATCAAAGCTAACCTTCAGGGTAGGGTTTAGGGTGTGGCTCAGTAGCAGAGCTTTTAGCATGGTGAAGCCTCCGAGTATTGGGAATCTGAAAAGGGAACTCCATTCAGCTAAAGGGAAAAGAGGGTAGGCACTCACTCTCTGCTAGGTCTGGAATGGGATGAACAGTTCTCTTACCTTATTCCTAATGTGTAGAATCTTAAAGACATGCAGTATTTCGTTAATAACTCAAATCTACTCCATGTTAAATTAGTTTTCTTATATTAAAGTGATTGGCCAGGACATCAACTGGCCTGAGTATGTTTTATTATACAAATGAGATGGAGAGCAAGAAAGAATGTGTTTCTTATCTTGCTAGCTTAATAAGTTATGCTAATAAAATTAATAATAATTATGATCGACGCTGAGGATGTAGTTCAGTGGTAGAGTACTTGCCTGGCATGTGCAAAATTCTGGGTTCAGCCCCTGGAAGCACAGGAAAAAAAAAAAAAGAAATGGCCTAAAACTTCAGCTGCATTCATCAGAACCTTTTGGTTCTGGTTGAGTTTACTTTTAAGGGTAATAATTTCATGTCAATAAATTCCAGTGAAAATATAATTTTTTTTCCTGTTAACTGCCACGTAATGTTTAACTCATATTTACTAGCCCAAGAAGATTCAAATTAAAAAGACAAAAATTTAGAAAATAAAGACAACACTTTCTCTAAAAATTCTTATGGAGGCATTACTAGATGACTTGAAAGACAGAAGGCTTATTTTTGTAAAATGCAAAATAAATGCAGTTTTAATTGTTTCTTTTACTTAACCCATTCTTTACTTACAAGTCTGTCTTGGTTGCTCTCTCTCTCTTGGGTCAGTTGCTCTAGAAAAGCCAGTTGTCATGTAATGAGGACATTCAAGCAGCCCTGTAGAGAAGTCCATGTTTTGAGGAACTGAAGAAGCCTTTTTCCAACAGCTGAAGAGGAATAGAGATCTCCCTTCTTGAAGATGAGCTATTTTCAGATCAGATACCCATATCAGGTCATCAGATGACTCCAACATCTTTCTCTTGACAGAAGCTTCAGGGGATACTCTGAGCTAGATTTGTGTGAGATACTAAATGATTTATTTTATTTTATTTTATTTTATTTGGTACCGAAAATCAAACTCAGGACCTTGTGCTTGCCAGGCAGTCACTTGTGCCACTGAGCTATATCCCCGGCCCTAAATGGTTTATTTTAAACTGCTAAACTTTGTTATGCAGTAGTATATAATTAATACAACACTTAAATATAATTTGTCTTCCATATGCCTATGAAAACTAAGCAAAACTGGACATAAGATAGGCAAAGAAGTACTGTAGATTGTGTTTTGGCCCACTGTATACTTTTCTCCAATACCTGTCTAGATTCTTTTAAACCTAGGCCTGTGGGCCAATACTCCTTCAGTGCTCTAAACTATTTTGAAGGTTATAGGAAGGGGTTTAGCCTTAATTATAATGATACATATGTATCATATGTATATTTGTATGATACATATGTATCATATGTATATTTGAACTGGAGGATCTACTTTTAAGAAGAGAAAAACAAGAAAATTTCTTGAAATCTAGTTTCTTAAAAAAAAAAAAACCAAGTTTCTTTTTTGTGGAATGGTAGGAATGCCACTACCTGTCTCTGGTTCATACTTAAAGTTACATTTATTATTTTTTTAACCTAATGTGACCAGTTAAATAATGTAAAATATGACTTTATTTTCTTCTTAGCGTTTGTTTTTTAAACATTTAGAATGAAAATAAATAAAAATATATCCCTCTTAGCCTCTCTTTGTCTATCTTACAATTTCAGTAATTTTAATAATAAACAGTAAAATGATGAATGTACAAACACATTGCTCAAGTGAACTCATCATGAACCTAAGTCTGAGAATGGTTCCTAAGTAGGGGAAGTGTGTTTCATATAAAAAGCCCATTTTCTGTCATTGCCTTTTTTATTTGGACTACTGGATGGTGTGTATTTTAAGGCAATCTTAATAGTTTCCTGTCTTTCACTAAGAAGAATGACTTGTCATAATGAGCAGTGTGGACGCTGTCCATTTGATCTACCCCAGAAAGCTGTCTATTTGATACAAGAATAAATTACTTCAATTCTTTTGTCCAATGAATGGTACCTAATAAATGAAAGAGACAGGGATAAAAAAGTGGGCAGTTCTAACAGAAGGCAACAAAGAATTGAGACATTTGGAGGCCTGGTTTAATAAAAAACATGACAAGTCAGAGAGTTGTATGTGATAACTAACTGTAAAGGGAGAGCAAATCCTCACTAACATAAAACATCCATGAAATAGTTTTTTCCTTATCTAAGAAAGTCTATAATTTTTGTAGTTGCAGAATAATAGCTCTCAATTCTTTCAAGTGATTTTGTAAAATCACTATGACTTTTTAACTCCACTAAAAAGAATTCTCATTTTCAGAATTCTTTCTATACTTTATCACCTTTCTGAATAGGAATTTTGTATTGCATTTGGGGGAATGGATTTGTTTGGGGGTGTCTTGTTATTATTTTGCATATTTTATTTCAGTTGTAAAGTTTTTGTCTTATTATTCTGTGAGGTAAACAAGGACATCTCAGTATTGAACATTTTCCTTTCACAGTGATTGGTATTATCTCTTAAGAGAATTATGCAAAGATGTCATACTGCATTTGAGTACCTAAGTTTTTATTAGTAGCATCTGAAAAAATATATGTGCATGTGTGCCCACGTGTGTGTGTGTATAGGAGGATTAACACAAGGCCTTGCACGTGCTTAAGCACATGTTCTGAGCTACACCTCGAGCACCTGAAATTTGTTGATGAAATATTAAGAGAGCCATTATTCTATGTTAGGGTTAGGGTTCCAGCTAGGGATAAAATACAAATTATGACAAATGTTGTGCTCTGTAGGAGCTGGTAAGTAGTAGTAGAGTGATTCTCAAAATGAAATTAGGATATCTTGCATTTAACCATAGGGATTGTTTTAAAAGACTGAACCAGAATGTCTAGGGCTAGCATCCACAATGTAATAGGTTCTCTCTGTGTTTGTAAGGCAAACTGAACTATAAGCACCATTGATTTAGAGGTTACAGGGTAGAGGAATCAACAATTTACATTTCGACTGAGCCTTGATACAGGGTTCAAACTACAACAGTAGCATCTAGGAAAGATAATACCTAATAGTCCCTATCTCTACCAAGGGAAATGTTGGTGAAAGCTAGAAGTGGACTGATGTCTGTGGCTCTGAAAATGATGGACCTTGTTTCCATTCATTTTTACCAAGAGAGAGAAATACAGTCAACACTGATGAAATGCTTTGTCTTGCTGTTCCAATCTGAAAACTTCTATCAGCCTCTCTTTTTTATTCTTCAGTGCCTCTGGTGTCTTGATTTTCCTTGATGACAAATATGACTATGCAACTAGGTTCTGAGCGATTTTAACAGTTGAGAATCTTGAATGTAGTATCTTCACTATAAAATCACACACACACACACACACACACACACACACACACACACACACTTTTAAGGGGCCAGAACGTGTCTTTTTGGGTTTAGAGTGAACAGACGTTATAGTTTTATTTTATATTAATCACTACAAGCAATTTATTTATTATTATCTTTGCTTGTGGATGGTCAGTGGCACCTCATATCTATTTAGCCTTGTATTTCTTTTCCTTCTCTCCCTCTCTCTCCATAGCATAGGACCTAGAACTCTCTACTCTTTCTTAATACTGGGAGAAATCCGTAACTCCAAGAATAGATTTAGGTAGAAAAGTAGCGTAAGCGCCAATCAGAACACTCTCCGGAGTAGTTCTTGACTGGCGTCTGAGAGACTGGCGGAAGTTGGAACTCAGTTACCTTCATTCATTCGGACAAAGAAAGCCATAATAGGTTAGGGCGGTCAAAATTTTCCTTGAGCTTTACCAGGCGAGGTGTTAAATCTTCGTCGGACTGTCCTTTAGTTAGAAGGCTCCTTTATCAGAAAACTTCTAGGCACTGCAGATACATTACTTCCGGAGTTCCTGGAGAAATGGCCAGCCTTTGGTGTGGTACCAGTACTCAAAATGGCGACAGGCCGCTTCATACCCCGGATCAGGTGATTCGGACTCATACCGCCCCCTTTTCTATTGCCGTTCCTCCTCCCGCTTCCTTACGCGTGGTGGGCGTGGCCTGCCCGGAGACCCGGGAGGCTGAGAAAACTGAGAGATAGGCATGCGCAGTTGGCCCTCTCAGGTCCTTGGCACCTCCTCCCCATCTATCGACCGACCCCGTTTTCCAGGGCGGGGCTGAGTCTGGAGTCCAGCTGGTACTGGCTGGAGGGTGATTCAGTGACTTCCTTGTTGCGAGTCCCGGCCTGGCAGTGTCCGGACTCGTATCCCTGCTGTCCTTGCTTGGCCCGCTACCCCGAGTACAGGTCACAGCCACAAGCCCACCTCGCCAGTCACCCTTTCAGTATAGGTCCTTTCCCCGCGCGCTCCGTGCTAACATGCCCATCCCCAGCACCACCTCCTCTCTCTACCCCCTCCCCGATGAAATTAGGAACCTGTTGGCAGGTAAAGAGCGGGAAGGGGGCGGGTAACTGCTGCTTGGGCGGGGGCCAGGGGACGGCGAGCCGGTGGGGACAGAAGCTTTGTGTCCTTACCCTGCCTCTGCGTGCCCCCCCTGGTCTTCTGACCGGAGGGGGCGGGACGAGGAGGGAAGCGGGGTGTTTGGGCTGAGAAAGGCAGTGGGCGTGTGTGTGAAATTTCGGTGAGGGGATGGTGGTGAAGCCTTCTTGACGTTCTACACCAACAGGACCAGGACAGTTTTGTCTGCGTCGTGAAGACGGCGTGAATGGAGGGTGGGGAGAGAGAATGTTCCTGAATGCATGTGTGAGAACTGGAAAGGCAGAAGTCAAGTAGCTCTTGGATGGCCTGGCCAGTAGAGATGGAAGGTATAGCAAAAACGTGTGGGAGCCACAGGTGTTAGGGGTTATGAGATGCAAGGGTGTGTCAGATCTAAAACTCCCATTTTTCTTCAACTTTCAGACCACTTATATTTAAGACTTTGAAAGGGAGCCTGATTCTCAAATGCCCAGTTACTTTCAGCCTTAGTAATTAAAACAAACAGGGAAGGATGTGTTGAAAGTCGTACTTCCTGTGGTGCATGATGAAAGCACTTCATCTTTGCACCCTCATCTTCCTCTTTTCAGTTTTACATCCCAGTTATAGGAACAATTTTTTTTTTTAGGAGTTAAAAATGTGATTCTTCAATGTTATTATGAATCCACTATTAGTTCAGTTAGTGTGGTGGATATGGAGATGATTATTTTCACTAAGGATCAATGAAACTATAGTTCTGCACAGGGTAGAAAATTATGTTTTTAGGGTACCACAAATCTTGCATATCCTGATGTTTAGAAATTCTTAGCGTTGTTCACTCTGCCTTGTGTATGCCAGGATTTTGTAAATTTAGTTGTCTCTAAAATATTTTTCTCTTAATATTGATCATGAATAACTGGATTAAAAGAACTTCTCTTAGATATCTGTGCTATGTTGCCTGTTTTAAGTGTCAAAAACAATGTCATCTAAAATGTCATATTTGATGTAGTAACAATGCTGGCAGTGTGAGAGCAGGTGTCCAAATATACTATTATGCTATTTTGGTGGTTAGCATCATGAATATGATTGAGAAAATAAAACTCTATGAAGGTAGGCTTATGTTCGTGGAACATGGTAAAGTGTGATGAATGTATTGGCAGTGGCATAGTGGGTAGTATTTTAACTAAGAAAAGCCTGTTGTCATTACCACTAAGGGAAGTATTGAAAGAACTGAGCTTTTATTCTATTATTTGAGAGTTTACATGAGTCTTAATTTTGTTTTACTACAATGAACATTTTTGTTGCTACAGTGCTGGATTTCTTTAGAAAATTACTGTAATAAGATCACAGAAGTGTTTATCATTATTTCAGAAATATGTCACAGTCTTCAGATTATTCTAGGTGTATATTTTTAAATTTAAGAATGAAGAACAGACCTCTATTTTCATGTTTTAAAAGGTTAACAGCTCCCACAGTAGGCAGTTTACTATTTGGATCCACAATCGTATATTCCTAGATAGTACGAAAGATAGGTAGATAATGAGACCTTTATTCTTTGATCCCCATTAGACCAGAACTATTTCATGTGGCCCTTGTCTGTGTAATTTAACAAAAGCTCAGAATTACATATTTAAATTATCTGTCTGTGCTAACTTCCTATATTTCTGCCATCTTCCCCAAGTCAGATAATACACAAGCATAACATCTGCATTTAGGTTTTTATAAGTCATTGACATTTCCACTATTTCATATTAAAGTAAATCAGACAATACACACATGAGATTTTAAAGAGAAATACTAAAACATTAAAACTTTTTAAGTTACAAATTTGTATTATACTTTATTTTCAGAGGTTGTTTTTAAAAGGTGTGAATCTGTGTTAGGAGATAGATCCATATCTAAAGAAATGAAACAAATGAACCAGTGCTACTCAGGGTTTAAAAAATTTTTATGTATTCAAGGAAAGTTGTGTTTAACTGTAATTAAAGTCTTTTTGGGTTAGAGAAGGCTTCAAGAATAGATGCTCTCAGCACTGTTTTACATATTTCGTCCAAGAATATTTGGGATGCACCATGATTTGCATAATTCAAATGTATTGGGTGATAGTACATGATTAGAGTTAGAATTTTGAAACAATAGATGAAGTGTTTGTATTGATTTGAATTTTGGAGGCATTGCTCATTTATTGCTTGCCTACTACAATTTTATTTTAAACTAAGAAGTAGGTGTTGTTTCTAGTGGCTATAAATAGTTGAGTGCTGTTAGTATACATGGTAGAATGCTAGAATTAAAAAACAGAGGATAAGGAATTAAGCCTTTCAAGAGTTTAGAATCTTATACTTTTAGGGAAAAGATAAAGTCAGCAGATAATAGCTTTCAGAATGTAATATTGCTGAGACATTTCCCTTCATGTTTCATGTACCTAGTATACAAATCATTATATGTTATATACATTAAATGTTTGACATTTAACTGTTTGGTGGGAATATGTTTCCGGATGCATTTTTATATTTATGATTTTTCTTTGTCTTTTTTTCCTTTCTGAAGTTTTCATTTTTAGGTACATATTTAATAATTACTTTGAAAAGTAGTAATGTAGTTTGTTAGTCAGATTTTTCTGTAGAATCAGTATATTAAATCTTGAAGGCCTATATTTATAAGTAGTGTTGAATTAATATTTTGGTTTACATAAAGAAAAAAGAGTTTACAGAACTTTGTTGTTAAAAACAAATTATGAACCACCATATACATTACAGGCAGTCTTTGGATTTTATCCCCCATAACAAAGGAAGAACAGGTTTAGGTTGGATAATTAATATCAGAGGACTTTGTTCATGTAATTTTCTTCCATATCCAAATATTGTGACTAGTACTACCAGCAAAAATAATCTCGATTTATGTGTTTTTTCCTTCTGGCAGCCAAGAAAGTGTGAGGAACTAGAACCATTGCCCACTAACCCCACTTAATTTGTTTAGTCATCCTTTGCATATTGCTTACTAGTGGTCTGCAAGCAGATGTTCTCATTCACTCTCATTCTTTCGTTTCATGATAACAAATTTTAAAAGGAAAGCTATAAGGGGAGGTTATCCTCTTTTTAATAAGTTAGAAAATGAAACCAGTGTTAAAAGAAGAAGACAGTTGTCAGTGCACTGAAAAATTAAAATCAAACCAAATAAACAGTAAACAAAATGAATAAATGGTTTCTGAACAGTGACCTTGAGATTTTTGTTCACATGGCAATTTTGATGATAAATATTGCATTTTCCTCTGTTGGGGATTTCCAGAACATTGTTTTTAACCTTCATACATTATAATTGATAATCCCTTCAGGGGCACTAGATAAAGGATGCGATTCAGTTGAAATAGAGGCAAAATTTTTTGATGATTAACATAATATGGTTTGCTTTCCACCTTTCCAAAGCCCTATTTATAATCTGGTCAACATTTTGGTTTTATTTCTCCTATGAGAATCATTTATGGTGTGTCCAGTGTACCCTAACTTCCTTCTGGGGTATTGGCTTAGTATGTAAAGGGAAGAGTGCCACCTACTGAGTCACCACTAGTCACCTTCTTAGCACCTGGATTTTCCAACAGAGCAAGAACAAGCCTGTCCCATTTTGGCAGCAATAACTATTCAGCATAGAGGTGACATGATAACATGTAATCTCAGAATGAAATCAATCTATGACACTTCTAAGATTTTCTCTTTTGGAAATAGAAATATGAACTTGTAAGTAAAGGTACCAGAAGGTTATAGTGTCAAATAATACAGTCAAATAGTATCGTCAGATAGTCAAATAGTACTGTGTAAGTAAATTAGGAAAATTATTGGTTTATTTTGTATCTGTTAAGCATGTAATGTCATACATTTTGTTGGAAGGAGATTTTGGCATGGCTTTCTATTGAAAATATTTGTATCTCTGATTTCTAAGTGAGGTTTTTACTGTTTTCTGCAATTTTATGGAAAATTATCTTTTGTTTCTTTTGCAAAGAGAAGTCTAAATATACTAAAGAATGAGCAGTATATGAAAAAATTTCAAGTTAGTTTATCTCTACTTATACCATCGTTAAAGTACTGATAGAAGGTGGAAACAACAGAGTATGAAAAGCCTCTGGTGATTTGAAATGCAGTTCAGTTGTCTCTCATAAATTTAAGGTGAAGTGTCATATATGGGCGATAAAAATGGGATAGGCTAGGTTTTATATACTCATTATTCACTTAGTTTGCCTTTTTCAATTAAAGCCAAGTCTATCTTTTTCATTCCATTGAGTTAACATTTCTTTTTCAATCACATTCTGAACATGTAACGATACATGCTGCCTAACAGTGACTGTAGGGTAAATCTCTGAAAATGTGTGGTAAAAAGATTTTGATTATTGTAAAGTGCTGTTTATCAAGAGTCATCTTCTTGAGGTTGAAAGACGGTCAGCCATATCTTTCAACAACCCAGCTTTCTATCAGGGAAAATCGTTTAATCTTCCAAAGCCAATATTGAAAATTTTGTGGGATGATTGAATTAGTAAGACTCAGGTATGTTTTACCCATTGCACTGCAAGAACTGTGTTTGCTCTTGTATCTTTCTATGTTGGAAAAGTCCACGGTTCTATCATAACCCCTAAAAGGGCTAGGTAATCAAGAGAAAGACATTGATCAGAACAATCAATAACTTTTCAATTAGCCATTTTCCAACTTTGGGAATTTGACTCCATTAATCTACATGTGCCTATTTTGATTGATTTTTATATTTTCACCACTAGCTGTTTGGTCAGACCGTTCTCTGCTGTAACAGAAATGTCTTTTTGTTCTAAGTAGCTTAAAGCCTGGGCTAGGATTCTTAACATACTAAGTTTGGTTACAGCATATGTCAGTGAATAAAATAAAAAGAGATGTGGAATTAAATAGTAAAGCCATTTGGGGGGCTGCATGATTGGTTTTTACACTTACCTTATGGATGGCTGGTGGATTTAGGCCAGTTCTTGCTCTTCCTCTGTATAATTCAGGCCATCACAGAGGCTGTGTGTATATGTGTGCCTGGGCCAGGATGTATTGGGTGGTTTGGGGACTAGGGAGAAGACAAGGGGTGTTGTGCCTTGTTTACAACTTAAGCCTCCAGGTCCTCTCCCAATCTGGTAGTGGGGGATGGTGAAGAGAAGTCTTTAAGGACGAGAACCCGTGCTAGGTATACAACTCATAGAACCTGGTGGTGGCAAGAATTTTTAAACTGCTCTGACCTTGTGTGGTTCCACATTTTCATTGCATAATGTATGTGGAAGTTGGTAGAAGCAGAGTGTGTGTATTAGGTACTTGTGTGTGTGTGTGTGTGTGTGTGTGTGTGTGTGTGCATGTGTGTGTGTGTGTTAGACACTTGTCCCAATCACTCTGGACTCTAGATGAAGATGGGGTGGCAGTTTATCAGACTGCCTAATGTGTCTAGGATGTCTGTAGGTAAAAGAGAGAGTGGTTGGGGAGAAAAGAAAAAAACCAAACAAAAACCTTGGAGTACCATTCCGTGAGTCATGTGTTAAGTGTTTGCCTCTTAAAGGTGGAGAGATAGCTATTGAGAGGCTTCTAACTTAAACTGCGTAAGCATTGCTGAGCCAGAACATCTCATCTTTTAATTTTTTTCTGGACCTTTTGCACTTATCTACAGAGAAGTTATAAATCTGATCATTTCAGCAGCCTTCACCCGCAGTTCCTTACAGCTGTGCTTGGAGATAAGGCTTACTCCTGATAACACCAAGGAGCAAAAATCACCACCACGTTTAATTTTGCCACAGTATAACTTTTTTCCTAATGATGACTTGGTGGGCAACAGAGATGGAGATGGGGTAATCCTGGAGTTAAATGTAGGCAGCACAGACCTGCAGTCCTGTGGCTGCGGGGGAGTGGGGAAAATTGGACTTGGTGCCTTAGAGGCACCCCCTTTCCGGTGCCTTCTCCTGGGTTCCTGGTTTCTTTCCCAAAGCAGGCGTCCTTGTCCTCTAGAGTGAGTGGAACCCCTCCCTTGGAGAAAGAGGAATTCGTGCTCACCAGGCCAAGGGGCAAACGAAGCAAGGCAGGCTGACCCTTTCTTGTAATCAAATTACGATGTTTTCCCGAATTACAGGCAGTCAGGAGTCAGTGAATCTACATATTAACCGAGGGACACGACCCCTAAAGAAAGGTAAAAGAGGGCCAGCGCGCTTGCTAGTTTACCGCGCTAGCTAGTTTGCCGTTTGCAGGGCTATTTAGAGCACAATAAAAAGCTTCAAATCTCTTTTCCAACCAGCCAGAGGAGCGCTTGATTCACCCAAGACTTTTATTGCTCGCTTTTGAAATATTACCCTGGCTTTGAGCTACAAAGCCACAGATCCAGCCCCATTTGTCTGGCGCTGCCCCAAACTCAGCTCTCCCAGCTCCCAGCTCCTCAGAGAGGAACCCTGGGGTTTAACACGTAGAGGGTCTAGTTTTTCCGGTGGCCAAAGAAGGAATATCTCCCAGGATAGCCCAAGTCACTTCTTTCCAGCCTTTGCGCTGCAGGGAGCACAGTCTGCTTTGCACAGGCACGGTGGGGAAGGTGGCCGGCGCCGTGGCGCATCCTGTGCCGGGGCGAGAGGCTGTTTCATTCCATTGGAAAATTAGCGTGCGAAGTGTAGATTTAAAAAAAAAACAATCTAGGTTTCAAAAGCTTAAAAACAGCTAAGTCGGTGGACAACTAGTGATTAAGATTATTGCAGGAACTGCTTGCAGTTAAAATTCTTTTTTGTTAAAAAGATATAAACAGCAAAGCAGTGCCTATTCTGCAGATGTCTTTTGTGAAATAATTGCCCAAAAAGTCAATGTTTCATAAATTCTTTTAGTTTCCTTAAACCCTCTTCTGAGAAAAGTTTGGGAATAAATTTAAATTACTACTCTAAAAGTATAGATCTTTTTCCTTACCCAGTCCCAGGGTCCTCTCCCCTTGAAATATACTGATCCTTCCCGCAGTCCCAAACTCAGCAAATATTTTTTCATAAACAGAAGCTCTGGTCAGTATTTTATAAACATATCTAAGAGGTTTTAGGAAAATGCATCATAGAGTATTGTACCCTTTTTAAATTTTCTGAATTTTTATAGAACTGAAATGACTTTTGAAAGAAAGAACTCTTGGGTTGTAATTTGTTCTGTTATTGCTTCCAGAGCTAGAAAATAGATCCTGTTTGTTTAAACTTGGATTGTATAATGAAAATGTAAAACAGGCAATTAAATACTCGTGGAAGAGGGAATTAATGACAAACATTGAGTGAAAATAACATTAAGCAGACTATTCACCAGTCATTGTGCCACTGATCCTCCCAAGTATTGAGTCCCCTTGGAAGAAGCAATCAGCAATAGGACTGCTACTCTTTCTCTTATTCTTTCATTTATTTTTTAAAGGGAGAGTTACTGTATAAATTTTCAGAGAAGCGAATGATCTTTTCCATTTCAGCTGTGTGAATGTCCAGAGGTTGCTTGCTTGCTCCTCTGGGTGCAGTCTTCATAACTTTCATTATTTTGAACTCACGTGAGAAATCTGGATCTAATTTGCACTAGTTCTGGATTATGTCTCTCTGTCCCCTCTCCAAAATAGGAGCAACGCAAGGAAAGAGAAGCCGGGATACTTTGCTTTCATCTCAATTTGATACTTGCTTTTAACATATTAGTTGTTAATGGACTTCAAACCAGAAGCTCTTTTTAAAAATTACTACAAATTAATTTTAATTCTTTCATTTGTCATAGTGACTTAGGGAAAAATTACCTTTACACATTTATAATGAAAACATATCTGTTTGATTACCTTTCCTCACTGGATCAAAATATTTTTGTAATCAAGAATTTAAACATGATTGCAAACATCTATCTCATATATTAGGTTTTAAATAGTTAATTTAAATATAGTTGAGAGATTATTACATTTCTTTGCATTACATAAATGTAATATGTTATGATACTATCTTTTTGTCAGTGTGAATTAGGAGATAGTAGTTTAAAAAAAAAGAAAGTAAAATATACATGAATCTCCTCAATATGAAACATGGATGATTTATAGCCATGTCTACTTTAAAACATTAAGGTATCCACTATATTAGATAGTTCAAAATGAGTTTTGACATTCTGAAAATAAAATTAAGTTGTATTCTATTTCATGAACACCAAGAATGGAACTATTATAGAAATCAAACCAGCAAGGACTTCTTATAATTTTATATGAGAGAGAACCAGAAAACAGAATAATTTGGTTTACTAAAATTTTAAAACATAGGCCATGGGGAAATGAAATATGAGGTTATAGAAATCTTATTTCTTGCATACTATATTTTTAAACAGTGGAAGAATCTATTTTTCTACTTCCTTCATGTGAGCAGTATTCCAGGTGATAATAACAGGGCAGGAACCAAGAGCTCACACAACTACCCAGAGTGGGTGGGGCAGTTAGCAAGGAGGGTGTGATTTAGGAATCTTGGCTAGAAGAAGACTTATTTTTTTTAAAGGATTAAACATTATGTATACTTAAATATATTACACTGGGAAAAACAGATCCTTGCAAGAGATATTAGTGTATATTGATATAATATTGTGAATGACTTGTTCATGTAGGATGTTCGAAAATACTATAAAATGATAGTGACACATGCATAAAAGCTTGGTGCTGGCTTTTATATGAGATTTTGTTTTATGAGATACCATAGTTTATTAAAACTTGTGAGCTTCTTCGTTATTTAATGATGCCAGACATCCAAATAGTATCTGCTGTGCTAAGCATAAATGCAACATACAAATTTTATTAGCTAAGTGGTGAACAGATTTGACCAGTTTAGTATTTGAAACATACTTTAACTGTTATGCTTTGGATTGATAAATAACTATAACCAATTGTACAGATATTAGCACTTATGTGAAGAAATAATCATTGTCCTATTTGTCTTCACAAAAAATGATTCTTCTAATGTGTATCCTGTTTCTTATATTTAATGGTTTAGATGTTGAAACATTCGTAGCAGATGTACTGAGAGGGGAAAATTTATCCAAGAAAGCGAAGGAAAAGAGAGAATCCCTTATTAAGAAGATAAAAGATGTAAAGGCCACGTAAGTCGCTTGCTTTTTATTACTTATTTCTTACTTAGAAACAACTTTGTAATTAACATCATAATAAGGAATTATCTGGAGTTGTTTTTTATATTCTAATTTATTGCTGTTATATATATTTAAAGGACAGAAATATATTTTTAAAATACAAACATGCTTATCATAATACTCTTTTATAAAGGTTCTCAATTATATATTTTAGTAAATACTCTAGTAAATACTCTAAATACTCTATTTACTGTTTATTTTTATTTTTACTGTTTATTTTTATTATCTGAGGGACTATTTGGCTTAAATAAGATGTAGCTAGATTGAGCATTTTTATGTAAATATGGAAAAGGCCTCAAACATTAAAAGAGAATCCTTTTATTATAGTAAATAAATAAAATATACATTATATATATTAGAAATATACCCTCAGTTGACTACTCTGCATAGATCTTTACAAATAATTTCATTACAAATTCTTAAGCCTTTTGGAGTTGTTATTCAGGACAGGAAGTAATTTTTTCTTTATATGTATATTTGTAATACAGATTTTGGATTTTAATTATTGCTGCTGATTAGACCTTTTTTTGATTTTTTAACCTCATTTTAAAATATAATGTTCTTTATTTTGCAGATATCTTCAGGAATTCCAAGACAAAGGTAAATTTCAAACATGAATTTTTTTCCTTCCATGTAGATTTTTGGTAGGATAATTAACACATCTTGAAATTTGATAGTTGGAACCAAAATTTAAATTTCTATCCTATATACTTGTATGTAGTTAGACCTTCAAGATGAGAGTGCTAGCTCCCCCTGCTGAGAAAAAATTAAAAAGCATATCCAGATTTTAACTCTTGCAGTTTTCTGATACAGAAATGTTATGAATTTAGCATTCTTAGGTTTTGTATTTCTTAGAGTACTTCGTGGCACAAATTCGTTAGGACAGGTACCCCTGAGCTACACTTGGAATAATTCGATTAAGCAGTGGGGAGATAGCAGCCCAGCACTGTTTAACACTGCAGAGGTTATTTTACAGAGTGGGAGGAGCAGAAGGGCTTGTGGCTGAGTGCTCATAGCTCACATTTTTGAAGGAGGCCTTAAAAACTATATAAATTATGTTTGAAGAAATGAATAAAATATTTCTCAAACGTTAGTTTTTATCTGTCTTGCTCTCTTTTGTTTTGAATAAATGTGTGCCTTAGAGAGTTCTAGAGATGAGAGTTCACTTTTATTTTATGAAGTAAATGAGAGTGCTAGTAAGCTGTCTTCCTTTAAATTTGAGATACAGCTTCTTAGCATGCTGAAACCAGGTTAAGAAAGGTATTTGAAGTTCCTGCTACTTCATGTCTTGGGTTCCTAAGGGAAACTGCGTATGGCCCATATTTCCATGATGCTAATTCCTAGGTCATGACCTACAGCTTGTGGATGCTGGTATGAAGATCACACTATGAGGTCAGTTAACTTACAAGGAGCTAGGTTCTGAGTTTTGGGGAAGAAACAGTGTGGCTTGTGCTAACTAGGATTAGCAGATCTCACTGGGTAATTCGTATTTGTGCTCACTGATAAGTGAGAGGGTAATGGCAGTTCCAATAAACCAAGTACTTAACCAGAGAAACCTAAAACCAGTTAAAAGGAAGGTACAGTTTCTTTCACATGAAATTACAAAGATAGTGGGATTGAAGGGAATGAGAAAAGATTTATTTCTATCTGAAGATTTTTAACACTTAGTTGCATTTTGCTTAGTTGCATATAGAAATGAATTTATGCATTTTAATTATGATAGCTTTTATACAGTGTACTATTTACGGGGCAGTATTATATCTGTCTCTTCTTAAAAGGCATATTTTATTCCAGTGATTATTTATTGAACTCTCATTGTAGCTTAATTATTTGTACATTAAACAATTTTAAGCTAAGAAAGCATAATAACATAAAGGCATTATATAATCGCATATGGTTTAGTAATAGTGTGGGAACTTTCCCTTTGGAATTCTGTTTCAGAACTTGTTCAGGTGTGTGGATATTAAAATTACATTACTGAGATGCATTCTTGTGTCTCCAAAGAGAATGAAAGTTTATATAGTATTTGGTAGCAATTGAAAAATGATCTTAAAATAAGAGTTCAAATAACACAGAATTCAGAGATTCCCTATAATCATTTTCCTCTGAATAAGTCATTTGCAGTTCAATACTGCTGTATTGAGTTAACTAATCACCAAGAGTGCCTGCTGAAAAGTAAGCCTGTGGATAAATTAGATGTATACCTTGGAGAAATACAAGAAGCTAAGTAATATTATGCCATTGTACCCTCAAAGTATATTCAGCTTTGTTCTGAAAAGACTACTTTCTAGTTTGTTAGGAATGGTAAAGGGTTCAGACTAATGATTGCAAAGTAAGTATCTTTTAATATTAGGAATATATTTATGAGATCTCTACATTGAGTAAATTCAATCCTACCTATGTTTTGATGGTGGTGCCCCCACCATCCCTACATTTTCCCTTAGGGGCTTTGGATTGTCTGCATCCTGGGAGAGCTGCGAAGAATTCCTTTTGGCTGTTATCTCTCTGTCTCCCTCTCTTGTCTCTCTCGGTCTCTTTGTCTCTGTCTTTGTCTCTGTCTCTGTCTGTCTTTCTCTCTCTCTCTCTCTCTCTCTCTCTCACACACACACACACACACACACACACAGAGTCTTTTTTTTTTCTGGTCATTATAGGATCACAATGAAGTAAACAGAAACTGTTTTCCTCATTTTTGTCTTTATACCCATATTTGTTTTACATACTTTATTTTATTAAAATAACAGCTGAATACCATTTTAATATCATTATTGGATGGCCAGGGATACAGCTCAGTGGCACAGTGCCTGCCTGGCAAGCACGAGGTCCTAAGTTCAATTCCCAGTACCAAAAAAGAAAAAAAAAAAAAAATCATTAATAGGGGAGGGACTGGGTGGAGAATTCTTAAATAAAATAATTTAATTCAGATTAATTTCTAATATGTCAATATATATTACTGTTTGAGCAAAAAAGTGTTATTGACTGAACGTTAGTTAGTGTTTTCTAATATTTTAGGATATCATAAAGAAAGTTTTACTCACATTGTATCTTGACTTTATTTTAGTCCTATTTTACTCCAGTGATGATTTCAGTGTGATATAGTAGGTATTCAATAAACACCAATTTAATGCATATTTGCTAGTCCAACTTCATTTGTCAGGAATAGTTAAATTAATTCTTATCCATAAATTTAGTTTTCAGATAATCTTTAGGTAATTACAATTTTTTTTTTTTTTTTTTTTTTTTTTTTTTTCTCCGGTACCGGGAACCGAACTCATGACCTTGCGCTTGCCAGGCAGGTGCTTTGCCGCTGAGCTAAATCCCCAGCTCCGGTAATTACAAATTATTAAAAGAAGGACATACATAAATGAGATAAATATTTTGAAACTGTTTTTCAAATTTGTAAAATATTAGTCTATGATTTTAAAAATGTGAATATATTGTTTTAAATGTTCCAGATAAAAAGTTATTTTACTCTTTAAAATCTCCCTTCCTATTAATTGTAAAAATTATTTAATAGATTTTGACCTTAAGATGCCATTGATATTGTAAAATATGCCTAGATTATGTAGGAAGCAATTTTTCTTTTGCCTTCTCATTTGTAATAATTTTTAAGTTTATTAATGGACTAAATCACTTTTTAAAAATAGCAGGACTGTTAAGTAGGAAGGGATCCATTTTTGTTTGTCCTGATAGAACCCTTAAGAATAGCAGGAAAGACAGAAACTTACTTAGATGATGTTTAATTTCCTTTCCTTTACTATTCCTAACATGATATATTTTCTGTGGAAAGTTAGCTGCACAGTGACATCTGAGCAAATAATTCACAGTTTTTTCCTTCCACTGCCCTTGTGTAGATGTGGTAAGCATGTTTGGAATTACAGGGCTTGTAGTGAAGAAGTCTGTATAAAAAATGGTATGCTTATTTTAAAGCTCAGGCTCACAGTGGCACAAAAAGTTGTCCTTATTATTTGCATACTGTAAATTAACCTTCCTATTGTAGAGGAATTAAGAAGAGAATCCTCTTAGTTTTTGGTGAGTTGTGTCCTTTGAAGTCTTAAGAATTAAATTTTCTTCAAGAAATTACAAATTAAATGGTTAATTCCATATATATATTTAGCTGCATATTATTTCTTGAAAATTTAGGATGGACAAATAAACTGACTAGAGAATTAGAAATTAACTTCTTTCTATCTTTACTCCCAGGTTTATCTTCATGCCCTGTCCAAGGGAATGGCTGCATCTAACTTATATTTTATTTATTTATATATTATTTTCTTTTAAATTAACATTTAATAATTATAAATTTATGAGGCGTAGTAATATTTCAATGTAAAATGAGCACTAAATTTTAAGTGTATTATTTAGTTTCATGTTGTCTGTGTTTAAAGTAGAACTGCACATGGAGAAATAAGCAGTAAACTAGGTAAACCGCCTTTGGTAGTGGTGGAATTTGTGAGGTCAGTTGCTGATGGGCTGCATCTTTGTGCATCTAGGAAAATGTTAATTGATGATGAGCCATATAAAAAAGAATGGCTAATAGTGATTTGAACCCAACTATTATAAATTTTAAAGTAGTTACCCGAGAAATATGCTGCTGCTGTATGATTAAACTTGGATTTTGCTGTGATATTTCAGTTGCCTCTGAAATTATAGGAAGGGAAGCCTTAGCTCATTGTCTTTCAGATGGTTAACTTTGTATCGTTAATTAAACTTTTGAAAGTTATGGGATAAATCAAATGCTTTTCTAGGGAAACAAGAAACAGTATTAATGAGCAACAACCCCATAATTACCCTTGTGAGTACATAACAGGGACACATTCATGTCTTTTCTTTGTGCAATAACTTTTACAAAGAAGTATTTTTAAACTGATCATTAATTTTATGACCACAGAAATGAGATGCAAAATTTATGCTGTTGTCATTGGCACAGGCTCAAGGCACCACTGACATTATGTGTGATAGTAATAGAATGGCTGGCAACTAATGATTCTGTAGACATTTCATTTGAGCATGCTTTTCTTTTAGATGTCTGATTAGTCTGTAATGCTTTCAATTATGTCTGTAAATTGTATTGGATACATTTACCTGATGCCCCATTGTTGATTTGGAGTTCAGTTTTTTTTTATTACATAAACACAAGTTGAGCATTTTCTTTTTAATTTATAGAAGCCTTTGCAGGTATAGCTAAAAATACTTGGCCCCTGGGGAGGAAAAATGCTTTCTACTACTCAACAGCGACCCCTGTGTTCAATTAAAGCTCTTTCTAAAGCAGGAGCTTTTATTCTTTATTGGACTAAAAACCAAATTAGGAAGGGGGAAAATGAATTTGTCATCACCGGAACAACAGTAAGATAAAGGCCATGCTGAAAAGTGGTGTGTTCTTTCAACTTAATGCAGTGGTTAAAAAGGGAATACCACTGTACAGATACCATATAGATTCTTTACTTTTTGAGTGAAGTCAAAGGACATTCCTTCGGTGGATTGGGGGAAAAAAAAAATCAAGCCAGTAGCAGTGCTTTATTTATTTTTATTAGATAAATATAAGTATCGTACTACTTTAAAAAATTCCTTCAGTTAACTGCAGTTCTTAGAATGGATATATTGAAGACAATCTCACCTTATTTTATTTTTGTAGCACTAGGGATTGAATCCAGGGCTTTCATGCTGAACTATATCCCCAGCCTTTTTCTTAATTTTTAATTTTGACACAGGGTCCCGCTAAGTTGCCTAGTTGCCTAGGTTAGGCTTGAACTTGTGATCCTCTTGCCTCAGCTTCATAGAGTGCTGGGATTACAGGTGTGTACCACTATGCTCAACTGTCATTTTCACTTTAATAAATAATCTGAAAAAAACTCTTTTTAGAAAAGTATTGGGGATTTCACCCGGAGTTTCATGATGCTTGGCAGGCACCGTACCACTGAGCTAAGTGCTAAGCTCTGAAAAGTATTTAAAAAGAAAACAAAGACCCATGTGTTGTTCAACATGTCAGCCACCAATTTGTGTAAAATGAATATTGTTATAGTATTACTGAGTTTATAACTTTGATAATCCTTTTGCTATATGTGTCATATGTAGATAGCTGTTCTCTCTGTGTGTGTATAGTGTATATATACACATAAAAATGTATATTGATGTCATCTAGGGAAAATAAGTTCCCTAAGGTTTTCAAAACTTGTATGTTTTATCTATTTCCATATAGACTTTAAGAGATTTAACCTGAGCATCAGAATTTTTTCAAAATAATTTCCATATATTCTTTGGTTTTACTATTTTTATAGTCACGACAGCATAAGTGGTAAATTCTGAAATATCCTATTGTCTTTTTTAAAATCAGGAGATTTATTTTTTGGTGTGTGATATCAGATATCCTTAGAAAATTCATACCATAAAAATTCTTACTTTGTTAGGAATATAAAGATTTTAGCAACTAAGACTAACAGAGAATTTTGTGATCTCTACAACTATATGTCTCACATTCTATCATGACATATTAAAAATATTTTTAGGGGTTCTTTTCTTTGTTTTTTTTTCCAGTACCAGGAATCGAACTCACGACCTCACGCTTGCCAGGCGGGTGCTGTGCCACTGAGCTAAATCCCTAGCCCCTTTAGTGGTTCTTTGTGGGGTTTCTTTTGCCTTTGAAATTAGAGTTTTTTCTTTATAAAAGAAATAGTATAAGCAGTCATTTAATGTTCTGAAAAATATTTTGGCCATCTCAAAAGAAAAAAAAGACAGGTTAAGACTTGAAGAACGAGTAATATTTATGTGTATGCTTTGGGATTTTAATTGGGGAAGAAACATTGCCATATTTAATATACCTAGTAATAGAATCACTAAGAATGACAAAATAACTGTCTCTGCATTCTGCTCTTGTCTTCATGAGAGATGTTACTCTCTACATTTTCAGACAAGGATGATTGTGCATGTAATAGCAAAATTATAAGGAAAAGAATATTTAACTTTTAAATTATTTTGACAATGTTGTTTTGAGAGGCTATTTCCTCTACCAGAAATGTACTGAAAAATAGGGTGACATCCAAGAAATGGGTGTGAGAGGACATCCAAGAAATGGGTATGAGAGGATTAGACATCATTATGAAGATTCTAGTGGCTTTAATCTGGAAATACCCCAGTACCATGACCCAAAGGTGATGTAGGTACTCCATTCAGGGTTCCTGTGAAAATTTTGACCATTCCCTTTATGTAATCCCTGAGGCAGCTGGTTTTTTTCTATGATTGTTAAAAGTTAGATATTTTATATAGTACATTTTTTGTTTATTGTTGAATCCCTGTGAAAATTACGGGGCTGACAAATAGTTGATTTAGTGTTTTTAAAAAATTATTTGAAATGAATATATGGAAAAAACTGAAACCACAAGGTTTTTTCATGGGGATTAAATGACCTAAAACAAACAGATTTTTAAAAATCTCAAACCAACCAACCTAGGATTTAGAAATCAAGCAGGAAACTGGCCAGAACATTAAAAAATGGTAGCACACTACTGAATGAAAATTGAAAGTGTTTGCACACCTTTTTGTTTGAATTTTTAAAAAGATGATGAGTTTTCAAGTAATTTTTTCCATAAAGGATTTCTGCTCTAAGAAACGTACTGAGTATTTTTAATCTACTCTAATGCTATCCTGTGTTTTTAAATGAAAATAAAAGGTGTTCATATGGCTTCAGAGTATCCATTTCTCATCATAATTTTTAAAATTATTGAATAGGTAAATAGGATTACTTGAATTATTTTGTGTTGTGTTTGCTTTTTCTTTTGATTGTTGTTCCTTTGATTTTTGGGGGTTATTTTGGATTTTATTTTATCTTCCTTCTGCTTTTTGAATTCCTTAAAGAGACTACCACAGTGTTGTGACTATATCCTTTTGGGTCACAAATAAGCAGTTGTCTATTGACCTTCAGAAACTACTACATTTACAAGTTGTGATGAAAGTGTGGAGTGCATTTAAATTTTAAAACTTATTACAGTAAAAGACACATTGCCATTAATCCTCATCAAAATTCTTCCCTTTGCTTCAAACTCATTTACTCCATCCTTCTTGCCACTTTCTGAAGCAGTTCTGGAAGTCCTTCTTGTGAATGTCTTAAGTTGTGCTGTTGCGGCTGCCTTGATGTCCTGAAACAATTTAAAACTGTTACCTTTCATGGTCATTTTGACTTTAGGGAAGAGCCAGAAGTTGCATGGTACCAGATCCAATGAATAAGGTGGATGAGGACATACTGTGATGTTTTTGCAACCCTGCCTTTTGGTTGGATGGCATTTGGTAGCAGCATTCACTGTATTTTTTATCACATCTCATAAAAGATATGAAGGAGAGCTTCCAGAGTTGCTTCAGAAAGTGATAGAAATGATGGGACAAGTGCATTCAAAGTGAGGGGGAGTAATTTTAGGAGTACTAATAGCATTATATCTTTTACTGTAATAAATTTAATAAAGTTAATATTCATATTTTTGATCACCCCTTGTATATTACAATGGAGATAAGCTAAAATAAGATGTGCTTTTACATAGTTCAGAAAGTTTTCTTTGTTTCTTATGACAGCAACTGAATTTAATGGTAAAACTTACCTTTTTGGACAGAGTAACAGAATTTTAAATGGCTAAATCATGAAAGATATTTCTTTGATTCTTTACAGGTGATGCAGAAAAGGGGGACGAATATGATGACCCTTTTGCTGGGCCTCCAGATGCAATTTCCTTAGCCTCAGAACGATGTGATAAAGATGATGATGCCCCTGCTGATGGTATGTGACATTTTCCCGTAGTGTATGCCTCCTGACCCTTTCACACAAGGCAGTGAGGGCTATGTGTACAGGTGAAGGTCTCATCCGGAAGCAGAAGGCATTGGCTTGGGTTAACTTACCTTTCCCAGAACCTTTTAAGGAACAGAAGAGCTCTCTCTAGTGGTCCTAGCAGAGGTTTCCCTAAGTATGTAGTTGATACCTTTTCTAGGAAATTTTCTTTACCAGAATTTTTAGGAGAGTGCTTGCAAAATTGTATGAATATTATTACTAACAGTTTGTTGGTTAATTTAATATGATCAAGTTCTTGCTTAATTTTATTGTGCTTAACAGCTTGTTGTATTATTAATTTTATAAATAATGAAAAAGGTTTTTGATCTATTTTTTGTAAAAATTTCATACAAAACGAGTTCATAAAATATTAAATTAATTATTCCTGCATTGCCTTTTCACAGAGACAAGTTTTTTTTATCAAGTGCTCCTTTTAGTACACATTTTCATTTTTCTAACTGTCATTTAAAATGTCCTATGTTATGCAGTAATATTATAGCATTTTGTATTAATTGAATTAGTAATGAAGTTGATTGTTTATCTCTTAATAATTTCTAAAAACCACTGAATGTTGTTGAAGTTATGAAACTTCTTTTAGTATACCATGTGCTTTCTCTCTTACAGCCAGTTGAGTACATCTACATTGTATAAACCTTATAAGGGTGATATATAGTTATAAATTAAGAATGTGTATCGATAAATTAGCCATGCATATTAATTTGTGGCATTCAAAGTTTCACACAGAGGTAGAAATGAGTAATGCTTTCTGCCACTGTATGATGATCAAACTGTGCAGTTCCATCTCTAAATACAATTGCTGAATGAAAATATGCTCCTTGCAACAGAGCACTCCACATTTTATGTTATCCAGATTATTCCCTTTGGAAACATAAATTGCTTTTATGAGGTATAAAATTATGTCTATTGCAGAACAGGGATAAGTCAAGTACATGCATAAGTGATAAACATTCTAACCACTGATTCAGAACAAAACAATCTTTTTTTTATATCCAGAACTTTGTACAATGTGTAGCAATAATAATCATATCCATTTTATGTTGACTTTTACATTTAATTTCTACTTTTAAAGGAAGGAATTTTTTCCATTTTTATTCCCTTTCTTTTACAAAGATGCACATTTCTCTTCACTCACACGTATTATACAGAACAGAGCATTACCTTTCCTAGCCTCATCTTCAAAAGCATTTCTGTTAGAAAATGTTTTATAATTGATGAAATAGTATTTCCAGGCCCAACAATGAATTATCATTTAAGTTGTAACGTTTTTCAGACACATTATTTTTTGCTTCTCTGTAATTGTTGGTGTTGTCAATAAGTATGTATGCATATATATTTACACACATGTATAGAGAGATTATACTCAAGTGAATAGACACATAATTTACTCAGTAGAATACTAGAGAATACTCAGAGTGTTTCAAAATAAATATTTTGATATACAGGGAAGTATTATGTGCATTTTTAAAACAGTGCAATGTAAAAAGAAATATAATAGTTAAATATCTATGAAAGCCAAAAATCTTCTACTGATAACTAATCATATATTTTCATAACCAAGTATATAGGAAACACAAAAATATGAAAAAAAATTGTTCTTAGATTAGCTTATCAATACTTGAATCTTATTTAATGATGTATAACTAGATTTTATTTAAACATTTGTGCATTTTTATTAATATTTAAGCAATACTTAAGTAGATTGAAAATTTTATTTTTAGTATTATTCATTTTTGAGATATAAATAGTATGATTTTAATAGTTTTACATTTTCTTCTGAGAACATTATATGTCAATTTTCAATCCATTTGGATTTTTAAATTTCTAACTGTAAAATATATCTCTTCGTATCATTCTTTTGTCCCTACAACTTAAATTTTGTCAGTGTTCTCTTTCCTTTCCTGAATAAGTTTCCTTTATTATGTGACCTCAGTTTAATAATGTATTAATTATAAAAAAGATAATGCACTTACAGTAAGTATAACCAATTTAGCACAGGTCACCCAAAGGTCTTTTGTCAAATCATATTGTTGTTTTGTCCTTTTGACTTTTACCTTATGGTAGGCACTAACAAAGTATGTGAACTTTGATGGATGATAAACTCTAAACATGATATGTATTTTTCATAATGATAATGTAATTTTCAAGGTACTGAAAAGGTCAAACCTGCACGTCTCTATGTGCATTCTAAGTCTGTCTTTCCCTTTAATATTTCTTTTTCTCTGTTCCTCTGGTTCAAAAGTTCACTCAGTTCCCAAATGGCCACCTAATTTTCCAGTTATTCCCTCAAGCCATATGTGTTTTGGTTTCTTTATGGTTTATTAGGTACTGTAGGAAAGTAGCATAAGTTATATCTTCTAATGAAATTCAAGCACACTTCAGTGATGCTTCGACTTGATTGCTGGTAGCAATTAAATCACAGCCAAAGAGAATAATGCATAATCGCACAAGGTCCAGACACCCTATAGAAATTGAACGGGGAAAACAGAAAACAAAAACAAAATCTCCAAACCCTGCCAGACATGCTGTTTCCAACCTGCCTTTTTTTTTTTATTGGCCAACTGCCTGATTGATAGCAAAATCATAACTTGCTGCATGCTAACAGGCAGAGTTCACTTGTAGGTTATTGTGAGCTGATAAAGGGTTAGATGGAGTTTTGATTTTCACATTGGACCTTGGTACACCAGATTAATGGAATTTGAATGAGAGACTCGAGTAGCCACAGCTTTGTCAGAGAAACAGATGGAGATTCTATAGTCATGTCTACTCATTAATACTAGTTGCCTGAAAGGTGTGCTGCTTCTCTATACAAAAGAGTTGATATAATTGATTTTTGAGTGGCACCTCGAAAAAAAGTACCTTATTGATGACTGGAATGGTAACATACATGGTGACAGATTTTTGTGTAGCTTGCCACATAAAAATATTGTACTTTGTAATTTTTTTATCTCTTTGGAAACATTTTCTGTATTTATTTTTTTTTAAAAAAATACATCTTAAGACTAATTACAAAAAAGGAGAAAATGCCGTACTCAATTATGTTTTAGGAAAAAGTAAGAGTCTATATTTTATTTCTAAATGATCACATGACAGCTATCAGCTGCCGTTGATATGGTAATATTGTAAAGAAATCATACTTATTAGAAGTTTCATTTTATTAGCTTTATGTTTAATTTTTCTAGAAAATTGAAAAATCAGTAGTTTCCAGACTGTCACAGGTCACTGATAGAATTTTTATGCTTATTGTGTAGCTGGAGATATACTGGAGTGTTAGTACACTTGTGCATGTCAATAGTCAGATAAAATTAGAGATGAGACTTGAGACATTAAAGAAGAATCTCCCTTATTGTATGCATACTATAATGTTTAGGCAGGTGTAGCTTTTAGACATTGTGTAATGACTTTAGTTTTTATTTTTGCCCATTCTAAAATCATTTTTCATTTATTCTCGTCATTTACGAAACAGGCTTCTAACTGTATAGCACTGTGGAAAGTCCCTAAGGTAAGGTGAAAGGATTCAGTGAGCTAGAAGACATATATTGGCTCTGCTCGTCAATGATAGGTCGAAGGATCCCAGTGGACATTTGTTACAAATCTGATTCAGTCCTAGACCATAATCACTTTGTGGATAAGAATCTGGAACCTCTAGGGTATGAATGTAGGAAGGTAAAATGAAACTGAAGTTATAGAAGAGTCATTTATTGTCCTGGTATCTTCCTAACTAAAAATTCTGAAATAAAATCGGTCATTGAAAGCTGTGGACATTGGCAAGGACATAAGTTGTTATGAAATAATACTTGTTTAGGAATGAAACTATGTTGTTAAAACTTGGGGATTAAGAAAAAAGCTAAACTATTTTGATCATAATTTATGCTGTTAAATGAATTTTTCTCTGTTTTTGTGTTCCTTTAAGAAACTCCAGTGTTTAAAAATTTGCAGATTTTATAAAATCACTTATTCCAAAAGTGTAAATCACTTATTCCAGAAGATTGCTTAAAAAAGGATTATTTTCAAATATTTATATATTTATAAATAATGAGATTCATCATGAAACTAAACAGGCTTAGGAATAAACCCATTCACGTGCACACACTTAAATTTAATGTACTAAACTTTTGAGAATGATTTCTTGGTGTAACATTAGGTGTAGCACTAACCAGTTCTTGTAAAAGCCAAGTGGTAAGTGTTTTCACTTCTCTCTGGGTGTCAGGAGGTAAGAAAACAACGTTTACAACTAGAAAAAAATTCTCTCAGTAAAATTCTTTCATTTACTGTTTAAGGTAAATGTTTTTGTATCATAGTATTGTGGTTTTCAATACTTAAAATTATACTTTCAGTCCTCTGAGCGTTTAGATTAGTTTCCAACTTAAATATATTTTTGTATATAGCATGTATTAATATTATATTTGTGGTTTTTAACTGTTTTGATTATTTTGTCCAATTGCTAGCTTGGGTATATTTTAGCAGCATTAGAACAATGATTATTTTAGTAATTTCTGTTATGTGTATAGCACAGTTTGAAATATTTTGACAGAATGGAGGGGATTACAGTGTAGGCAAATGGTAAAAAGTATGGATATATAATTGGCAATATAGAGCAAACATCATAAAATATTTTTGTAGTATAAAAATATAAATGAGTACATAAAAACACATATCCATTAAGGATAATCTTTTTAATGGTGGCACATACCTGTAATCTCAGCCTGTGGGAAGCTGAGACAGGAGGATCATGAATTTGAGGTTAGCTTGGGCTACATAGTGAGACCCTGTCTCATAAACTGCCCCCTCCAAAAGGAACAATCTTTCTAATTTTTTTGTTACAAAAATTTTTTGTTACATTCAATTTTTGTTATAATTGAATGGATAATTATACTAGAATAAGACAAAATATACAAATAAGACTATAGAAAAATAGGCTATATAAGAAAGAA